TGATTGATTGAACAGAGCTCCCCAGGCTAATTTGTTTGGTAGAACCTCCTTATTGTTGACAAGATGATTAGGAAAGCACCAGGAAATTTATTTGAATTTGCAATTGCTTTTCCCCTCCTTATTTACAAGAAGAAACTATCTAGACTGATGCTGGGGCTGTGAGTCAGATCTGATCCTAGGACTTGTGCCACTCCAGACATCTCTGAACTCTTCCTTGCATGCCTGCTTTATTTTACACACCAACATCATAGTTATGAACATGGGAACTGCACCAACTCAACTCAACTGCAGGAAAATGTCACTATCCTCCTCTATAGCACAGTGCTGAAACTTGCAAGCTGCTAATCTGCAGAGTGGAACCCACAGCCGTGTTCACTGTTGCCTCTGCATCCTTTGAGACTGCCACTCTCTACAATGTACAGAGGTAAAGCCACCACAACATCAGAGGCAGTTGGAGTCTGGCATCTAACAGGAATTCTTCTGTTCATTTAATGAGGCCAAAAGTCATTCCAAATTCCTAAATCCTCATGACCCTTCACACAGATGATCTCCCTAAGAGAGATGTACCAAATACTTAGCATCCTCCCTTTAAACTCAGTCATGGGTGTACAATAAAACCTAGCTCGTTCAGGTATGTGGCTCCTTGGAGATTATCCTGGGTTATACACATACATAAAGCCCATATCTATAAAACCCACAATTCATGGGATCCTAATAATTGCCTTTATTTAATGTCTATTCCACATAAACATATTTTAAGTTTCCTACCATTTGCTCATGAATATACTGCAATGTTTCTAGAACTTAAGAAAGCTAAAAATACTTTTGCAAATATCTTTAAGTAGAAATGAATCCCTGAAGATGCTGTGAGTAGAGGCTGTTCCTACATCAGCCCTTGTCTTTGATTAACCACTTTAAAAAAAAACAAAAACAAAAAAAAAGGAATAGATTAATTATTAAAATTAGTCCTGTAGTGCACCTGAGAACTCTTGAGTAAAACCTGATTCCCACTTGGAGAGGCAGGGGGGCTGAGGATGCTCAGCACCTCACAGAATTGGGTTTGCAGGGAGAAAGTCAGAGGTTTCTGTTGTGAAACAGTAAGGATTGAGTGCACTGTCTGCCCCACAGCAGCTTCAGGTAGTTTGATAAATAAAAAAATAAATAAATTCAGTTTTGGGCTTGGAATCAATGCAATTCCCCTTTAGCCTATTAGACTTGCTGAGAAACTCCTTCCGGGACACGCAGCAGTTTCTCTGACTGCTGAGCCGTGTAATAACACTGGAAACAAAGCCACAAGAACTTACCATGTCACACTGTAATGTCATTATTCACTTGATAAAGCTGTGGCCATGGGTTTGCTCAAAGCTGTGGAGTAGCTCTGCTCATCAAACAGGTAGCTTCTCCCCAAAGCCAGCGCGTGGCAGCAGCAGTCCCCAGGCTGGCCCTTTCCAGGCCTCTGTCCTCAGCTCACTTTCACACTTGCCTGCACATCTTGCTCCTCTCCAGCTTGCTACCTCTCTAGAGAAAACATGCCTTATGTTTGCCATTTATTTCTCATTCACCTTGCTTCTCACCTTAAGGCAGCCTTAATTGTAACATCTCTGAAGGTTTATTCAACAGATCTGAGGATAGTGCTTTAATTACAAAAACAAAAACACCAGATTACAACCAAAGTATAAAACACAGTATTTGGCTCAAAGTAGCAGCTGAAACCTTTTTAGATGTTTCAGCATCTTTCATCCAGGAGTTCCTCAGTTTGTCTCAGCTGGAAGATTTGAAGATCCAGGCTTCCTTGTGCCTATCTATATTTTGAATGCCCTTTACAGCCTACTGCCTCTATGTGGGCTCAGTTTTTTTTAATGTAAATTCAAATATCTTAAACACTTGTATCTTTTGTCAGGCATTTTGGGTGATTTTACTTACTATCCCATTGATATACTAATGGTTCTTTGGGGATATCAGTTGTATAAATGTCTTTTCTCCTTTCCTACTCAGTCCAGCTTCTCAGTATTCCTGCTCAGTCCACTGTTCAATGTAAACTTTTTTCTTTACATTTCCCAGAATTAGCTGAGGCTACTGGTTGCAAGGCTACTGCTACATGTTCTTAGCAAAGACCATGCAAAGTATCAAGTTGAAGCAAAATATGCTAAGTTTAGGATGCCTGCTCAATTACCAGTTTTCTCTAAAGGCCACACTTGACACATTATCAGAATTAGCTGTGTTTTTTTTCTCCTGGATTTACCCATGAGTTCTTGTTCTTTTTACCCCTCAAGTTTTGCTGGATTTCTGTGTCACAGGACAGTTTCAACTACTACGTTATTTTGTATTTTGATCCTCAGAGGACAAAATGTTACACCAGAGGGCTCTAACTAAAATTAAAGAGAAAAAAAATTAAATCGGTATGTTGCCTAAAGCTACTGTTTTGACACAATGAACGGTGTGTAAAGGTAGCCTGTGCACTTTGCTATAGATATTTTTTATTAATGGAGTGTTTCAAAATGGGGCAGAAAACAACTTAAGACTTTAATAAATCTTGGACATGACTGGTTATTTCAGAAGTTAAGCTCACCCTCATTACCCTGTAACACTACCTCCTGCAAGGCTACCTGAGATGTATTGTACAGTACTGGTGTTCTGGCAGCTGACTCCAAGAAGCCGGCATTAACCTCTCTCACTCCCCTGGTACATACAGATTATTCCCATTAGAATGGATTGATGAATGAAAAGGTCATAGTTAATGGGTATTACTCTAATGCAGAGGGCCAAATCCTATTATCCTGTGCAACAGACAGGGTAAATAATATTTGTGTAAAGGAGCCCCACTGGGACAAAGAGAAAGGGAGTTCACTGCCACAAGGCCCCACATCTGCACATTGCCCACCCCATCCTTGCTCAGCAAAACCTCTGGCCAAAGGATGAGGAGGTTTGGCCCACAGAGCTTCTTACAGACCCTATTAATGGCAATAGAGAGGCTCCCACTGGCATTCGTGAACTTGGCGAAGGGCTGGCAGAGAGGAAGGTTGGTTGCGTAGGTTTTGCTTGTGATAACAGCTTCTGGAGAAGCAGTGGTGTGTACTCTCCATGCTCATGGTGCTTTGATCACATTTCAATATGCCTTTTTCAGATTAATAAATACATTAGGTGCATTATCCAGATTACAGTGTGTGCACTAAGTTATTTGATATATTATTAACCAACAAATATACGATAAAAATTAAGTCTGCATATAATTACCTACAACTGCTGACTGACTTATAATTAACTTTGAAAAATTGCTGGTTTAGGAGATATTATAGATTACAATTTTAAATATAAGGAGCTTCAAAATAACTCTCACGATCAGCGTAAGTACAAGGTATTAGAAGAAAGATAAATTCCCTAAACTGCTAATCAGCTCTATCTCCTGTCTTATCAAATTGTAAATACATTATGCTGTATTAAAGTATGAGTATGCAGCTAATTAAAGGAGAGTCTGTATTTAGTATCAGATACTCCACTCCTGAAACAACAAAAATGTTCTAAGGACACATATAGCAAGTGTTAACAAATGAAAGCGATACTTTTAGAAGTGATGCTGTGCTCCTACAGCAGCCTTTTTGTTTTCATTTTGGAGGATTTCTTTTTTTAAGGAAAAAGATGGAGGGAGGAAAGCCACACAGTCCATCTGGAGAAACAAGTTGGGGAAGACATTAATTCTATTCAGTCTACAGCTGGAAGCCCACAGGAACCAACCAAGGGATTAGAACTAAGGATCTACAAATAGTATCTGGATGACATCCAGCTAAAATTGGTTCATTTACAAATATTTTTAATAGAATCTGATGTTAAATGTTGCAAAGCAAAATAAGACTTTTTAATTTTTTTTTTAAAAAGCCAGAAAGCAAACCCATCCACATTGTTAAAGGAATGCAGTACAAATGAAGTGAAGCTTAGACAAGCAAACAGAAGTTTAGAACCATAATTGAGCATAATTTGCAAAACTGCTTCTTTTACTTGCTTTTTTTTTGTTTTAAACTCAAATAAAGTGATGGCATTATAAAGGAGGCAGGAAAAAAGTGTATTATTCACCTATGAAACAAACATAAAATATAAGATAGAATACACAGTAAAGGAGCCTTCAAAGCAAAATTAGTTTTTAAAAAAATTATTTGTGTAAACCTAAAGGTTGCTGTGTGCCACTTGAAAGTTTTCACACCCCAAAGACTACAAATTATATTGTATTATTAATGTTGTTCAGCAACAAAAGATACATATTGTCAAGATCTACACAATACAATACAATAGAAAATCTGGGATGGGGAGGGGCTGTTTCTGTTTTCTCTTTTCTTTCTCTTTTTCTAATCTCTCTTTTCTCTTTTTCTCTTTTT